TATTATATACTCATCCGTTCCAAATTATAAGACGTTTTGACTTTTGCTATGCATTTAGATATACACCGTGTCTAAATACATAACAAAAGTAATGTATCTAGAAATGCCAAAATGTCTTATAATTTGGTACGGAGTGAGTGTATGTTTTCCTCGTGGAGACAACAAGAGAAGTGCTCCCAGCATTCATAGGACCACTGTGAACGTAGTACAGTACGTAGTAGTAGCAAATTAATTAACAAGCATTGCCATCTGGCTAGTGCTAGCCTCTCATCAGCCTGAAAGCACTGATCCATGCATGGTTTTAGATGACACAGCAATGCTGTAAGTATAGCGAGAGGGGAGCTTCTAACTCATGTAGGTGTAGCTGATCTCGGTGCCTTCAACTTCAACAATATAATGTCGATCGTGTTGTATATCATTATGCAAAATGATTTGAACTCGGACAATTGGACCTGCATTATTGGTAGCTACTTAGATTGTAGCAGAGAGAGAGAGAGAGAGAGAGAGAGAGAGAGGTGTCAATGATGGGCAAATCAAATCCTCCTCTTCGTCTGGACCATTGCGATGGACAGCAGCTTTACCAAAAACTGTCCGTTTTATTAAGGGGTGAAATCGTTGGCTTGTCCATTCGATCCATTAAGTTCCCATTGATTGCTATATCTGAGCTAGTACGGACTGTCACAGCGTCACGCTTCACGACAAGATCTGCAGCTTCCATAATATCGCGCGCGCGTAATTTTGCTTTCCATATCTTGTGTAGTTGTGTGCGTCTAAAAAAAAAAAATCTTGTGTAGGTGCGCTGGCTGGCTACCGTCCACAGCTCTGGGCGTGCGCGCTGCGAGTTCATCGATGGATCATGAGGACTACTGTTCACTGAACTCGAGTGCTCCAAGACAGGCAACCTCATGTCTTTGAGAAGCATATGTTGATTGTTGAGCTTTCACATTCTGTAAGTTTTCTGAAAACAGAAACACACTCACCACCAGATAGCACATGTGGCGTTTTTCTGGAGTGATATGCTCGTCTGCTTGATCTGGAGGTTGGGAATGGTGATGTGCGTGTGTATATGCTCACTACCGTACCAGTACTGTTCACACAGATTCCATTTTCTGAAGCCTGAAACAGACTTTCTCTAGCTATATATATGTGTATACAGTAAAAGCACGTGAAAATTGGGGCATCTAACAAAGATATGGCAACTACTACCATATGGAGGAAGTACTTCTGTGTGTTCTCTAGAGACCCTCCTCTTATCCGCAAGATTTAATTTAACATGCATACATATACATATGGATCAGCTCCAAAAAGCTTGTGATGATGATGTGCTAACTGCGTGTCTCCCCCTTTAGCCAGAAGTTGCTCCATCCTTTAAACTTAGAGACCACCCTCTTTTTCGCAAGATTTACCGGTTACCATGCATGCACGAGCTATTTACCATGCATACATATACATATGGAACTCCAAAAAGCTTGTGATGATGTGCTAACTGTGCGCCTCCCCCTCTAGCCACTTGCTGAAGTTGCTCCATCCTTTAAACTTAGAGACCATCCTCTTTTCCGCAAGATTTACCGGTTACCATGCATGCACGAGCTAACAAGATCTATATATGTCGAATTAATTATATTAACTGTTAGGGGTGCGCCATATGTTAGGAACCACTTTAGTGTGTAAAAGGGCCTAATTAGTAGGCCTAAAGCCTCATTCGTGAGTGGTTAGAATCCGGTTGTAATTTTTAGAGACCCATTTGTACTTGCAAACTCCACCAAAGGAAAGAACCAAAATATCCACCTCCCTTATAAAAAGTGGGGAAGGGCAAGGTGGAGGGGGACTATTGGCCATTTTATGAATTGCTTACTCCCTCCCTCTCCTCCCTTCTCTCTCCTGTTCGGTGTAAAACTAACATTAACAAATAAGTGAAATTCCTTTGGTCAGAATTACTCAACTAGCAGTTGTTATATACTCAAAAGTTCATATATATAGAGAGATCCACAAAAAGAGGATTTTATCGATGGGCGGGCTCTTGTAATTATCGTTTTCCAAACTAAAAAAAATTACTGACCAACATCAATTATATGTTTACAAGGTTGGGCTAATAATCTCTATATTGATATAGAAATTCTAATATAGTTAGTCTGTTTATTGTCGATCAGTTAATAGTTATATGAATTTACTAGGCTACTTCCAAATCTACATCAATTTGAATATCTTCATCATTAGATATTGAAGTAAAAAATATATATCTATGTTCTTCCTCATATTGCTAGTGACCAAACTCAGATAAGCCATTGGTGTTTTTGGAGAATTTTTGGAATTTTTATTTAACGTTAGATTAATTGATCGTCGCAACGGTTTCCATTTCCTCATATATTTAAATTTCATAAAATATATTTATGACCTAGATTAGCTATCCAAGTAATCTTGTCTAACACATGCAATGTCTTCTCCTTTGTGCAGCCTCGAGTCGGAGGGTTCAAATAATCTAGCTCATGCGCCTCCGACTGATCTAGCTTTTCCTTCACCAGGCACTCAGTTTCCACCTTTCTAATGAGTAGCATTAGTTGTATTTGCATTTGTTGTTCACTTGGTGATGGATTTCTGATATACTTGTCATGCACTAGTGGTATATTTGGATAACTGTGATATATGCGATAGATGTTTGGATTGATGTATGTGATATATGTGATGAATGTGATATATGCGATGGATGTGATAAATATGTGATGCATGTTTGGATGGATGTGAGATATATGTGATAATTTGTGTTTGTCGTGATGGAATGAAAAAATGAAAAAAACACTGTTTTTGGTCAGTTTGCCGAGTGCAATAGTCACTGCACTCGGCAAAGCTGGAAAAAGTAGCAACCCGTTTCCCAGCTTTGCCGAGTGCCATGACCATAGCACTCGGCAAAGATTTTTTTTAAAAAAAATTAAAAACTTTGCCGAGTGCCACCCGTCCGACGCCCAGCAAAGAATTTTTTAAACAAAAAAAAAATAAAAAACTTTGCCGAGTGCCATCTCGGGCGGCGCTCGGCAAAGAAATTTTAAAAAAAAATTAAAAATTTTGCTGAGTGCCATCCCGGGCAACGCTCGGCAAAGAGAGAATTAAAAAAAATAAAGACAAAAAACTTTGACGAGTGCCAGCTCGGGCGGCGCTCGGCAAAGAATTTAAAAAAAAATGAAAAACTTTGCCGAGTGCCGTCCGGGTTGGCACTCGGCAAAGCCGCCATCACCGTTTCATGGGCCGTGACCGCTCGTTTTCTTTGCCGAGGGCTGGCTCGGCACTCGGCAAAAGCTTTGCCGAGTGCCCTACAAATGGCTCTCGGCAAAGGCTGCTTTGCCGGCCATTTTTTTCACGAGTGGCCTTTGCCGAGTGTGGCACTCGGCAAACCCTTTGCCGAGTGCCGCAGGCACTCGACAAAGCGCCTGAATCTAGTAGTGAGGTTTTTTCCCAAAAATAGTTATCACCTAGGTAATTTTCCACAATAATAGCTTGTACAGTCACATAATTAAGGAACCACATGCAGATACATAGATTAGTTGCCACCCTTGAGTTTACACGGGAAATTTTTTCATTGTGTCAAGTTTTTTTTGGACCAAGGAAGTATATATATGTTTTATAAGCTACATGGATGAGTATATAGAATTAACTAATCCCTTGTGCATTATTGTTACTTTCTCAATATACTGAAGTTCACCTTTATTTTCCTATGTATATATGTTCTATTTTCGGAAGTGCATTTTGTGTCTTGTAATGTTGTAGTCATGATAAACCTTGTTTATGTAAGTGGTCTATGTATTTGTGATGTATGGAAAACTCACTAAAGCATCTGCTGTATATGTGTTAGTTAATAAGTTTCAAGAAGTTGGGTATATAATCTCATGTAAATACTAGACATTCAGTTTTGAGTGAGACTGTTTACACTTGCATAAAAAAGGAAATGACTTACACACTACTTGCCTTTTGGAAGAAGACGGCCCAGAGATAGAGAAAATAACATGGAGTATGGTATGAAAAAGGTTCAGCAAATTTACATGCAGCACTCAAATTCATTAACTGAATTAATTACATGGGATGACAAGTCCTAATATTGGAGTGTATATATTTGACTTGAATGTTCAGAGGATTTGGACCAATTCAATTTCACTTGATATGCCTATGCGACGCATGAGGTCGAGAAGGCAAGGTGTATGAGATGGGTTTATCATGGAATTCTGTGTAAGGTTTGAGAAGACCCCCGCCCCCACTCACCCCAATTCTTTTTTGGCAAATTAGTGAGGATGTGCTTCTGTGGCTCACAGGGAAAAATGGGAATGCACTGCTATATATGGAGTTCAATTGATAGTTATGCCTTCCAAGCAAACTCACGAGGAGAAAAAACATCAATGGAATCCTAGGAAGTTCAGTTCCTATGAGATACAACAATTCAATGATGATCGTGAAATTTATCATTGTGAGCTAACTATACTGTACAATAGATACCTGTACTAGTACAATAGATACAACAATTCTAGTTGACAACGAGATATACTGGAATCATAATAATCTGGGACACATGAGAAGCGAGATATCAAGCAGACTCATAAAGGAGTTGAAGCATTACTACTACATCACAAACTGAACAAAGTTGGACATGGCATATGCGCAATTTTGGAATCACTTGAAAAAGCTCCAAACATTGCGGCAAAACTCATGCCGCACTTTCGAAAATAAAGCGATAGCTGAAGCTAAAAAATATTGCGCACAAAGAGGACTCAAGGCACAACCGAAGAGCACACCAAATACCACGCCCTTTGGATAGCAGGATGGACCGACAATAGTTCTTGCCGATAAGTTCCATCATCAGATCGAAGAATACAACTGCACAACTACATGAGGAAGTGATGGATCCAGCACTGTCACAGAGATACCACGCACTCGAAACAGATTATTGCACTCATCATACAGATCGAATTATCTAAGCAAACGGGGCGAATTAAAGGTGGAGGAGGAAGAGGAACCAATCAAAGCCTGAGGGAGAGGTCCAGCTCCTCGGCGCGCTCGACGCCGTAGCCGGAGTCCGACGGCCTCTTCTTTTTGCTCGGCGGGGCAGGCGCGGGAGCGGCATCATGAGCAGGAGCCTTCTGCTCGTCCATCCTTGTTGCACTCTTATTATGCTCAACGACGACGACTCCGGTGCCTTGGGGCCTGGCGGGGGCATCGCGAGCGCCCATAGCGGCGCCGTCCCGGGCGCCCGTGGCGGTGGTGGCTGCCCCGTGCGCGCGCAGGGCGGCGGCGATCTCCCTCCGGCGCTTGGCCAGGCTGCGCTCGTACTTGTGCGCGTTCTGGTGGCCGCCTAGAGCCTGCGAGCTGACGAACTTGCGGTCGCAGTACATGCAGATGAAGTAGCCCGGCGGCTCCGGCGAGACCGAGGGGTGGAAGAGGGTGAGCTCAAGGTTGAGCTCCTGCTCCATTACACGGCCGGTACTACTAGCACAGTCTAGGTGAAAGGGGTGTCTGTGTGTGTGTGAGAGAGAGAGAGAGAGTGCGCTAGAGACTAGAGAGAGAACTTAGTTTGCAACAGCAATCATGTTTCTAAGCGAGTTTAAACACAGCTCCAAACTTGTGTTGTGCATTGTTCCGTGAGATGAGGTTACTGGAGATCTCAGTACAGCCAGTGGATGGGGCTCGCGCACGTTTCCGTTTGGTAGGTATGTGGCAATAAGGAACGGAAGAAGAATCATCAGGTCAAGTTGCTTGCCGCTTGTGGCCCGGACCCCGGCCGGACCCGGAGTGCACTGGTTCAGTCAGACAAAAACTTTAGGAAACTTGCATATCTTTCTCATGACACACACACACACACACACACACACACACACACACACACACACATATGGGTCTCACTCACAACGAATAAAAGTGATAGGAAACTCCAACCATTGTTCTTGGACACTACTTTTCAGATAACAAAGCAAGCTGATTTTATTTGTATTGTATATGACAGTACTTTCAGAAAACAAGCAACTAACGTACACACGAATCCTCACCGCCGTTACGTTATACCGATCGAGATGCATGCGGCACAGAGTGGCAGACAAACTGACAAAACAAAGAACGGGATCACAGCGAATATAAGATCCCAGATGCACGCTTTCATCAGCCATGTAGTGCTGGTCCACGGCTATATCGTCACTTCTGGCTAGAGCAACCGGGTTGCGCTAGTGCTGGTCCGCAGCTAAGTCAGCACGCTTTCAGCCATGTAGTCCCTAGCGATTCTTTCGGCCTTGTTTTCTTTTCGTTTTCGTTGCCCAACCTGCTCAATCCTGGCATCTCGCCTACGGATGGTTCAAGCTCGTAACTTGCTTTCTCCTTCTTAATTGAAATACACGTCGTGTTCTAGAAAAAAAAAAGATCCCAGATGCAAGATAAGGTAAGGCGCGCCGGCTGGCCAGCCCCCACCATACCTCCCGGTGGGTAGCAACGACAAGGCGTTTCACTACAGCTTATATGCCATGACTTGGAAACAAAACAAAAGAGAGGACATGAATGCGGCCGTCGCCGTCGCCTTCGCGCATCAACGGTGTGTGCTCCAGCGGGCAGCCCCGACCGGGGACCAGGTGGCGCTCTCGCCATCTCGCGGCCGGAGAGCATCGCCATTATTGTGTTAATTGTGTCAAGCCGCAGTCGGCCGTATATGGTGTCATTTGGTCCTACGGCGGGGCAGGGATTGGTGTCGATCGATTATTTGCTCCTGCTGCATGCCGTGTAGAGCTAGAAGCTAGCTGCACGCGACTTGCCGACTTCCAGTTCCAGCCGGTGCATGGCAAGTTGTGCCTTAGGTGTGGGCAGTGCGCACTCTGGTTGGATCTCGCTATTTCGGCCTATCAAAATTCTGTCTTGCTACAAATTTTGGGTGTCTGAAAATATTCTGCAACTTCGTTCAAAACCCGAACCGGGCAAAACCAGCCTCCGCCGCCAGCTTATCTCTTGAGCGTGCGAATCATTCTCCCTCTCCTCCTCTCCTTCTTCTCCTACACAACCACCTTGCTCTCCCCGCGACTGCACTCCGATCCGCTTCCTCCGTGCACTATATGCTCCCACAGTCCCACTACCGTAGAAATGGCTAGTACAGTCAATTTAGGACCTTGTTTATTACCACATACGGTCGTTTTTGGATAGACTGCAGCTGCTCAACGTAGTAGAAAATTAACTATTCCTACAAGAAGGCAAGGCAATTAATAACAGTTTGTACTATCGGTTTTACAATAATATCAACCCATGGTACAAATACATCTGTATAGTCAGTTCGCTTGAACATACGGATCAGATGGTAGAGAAAAAAAGTTTGTATAGTAGGTTTGTAACACCACCCGGCGACTGTAAAAATGGTACCATCTACAGTAAGTTGCTCATTGAGAAATGAATGTACATACTCCCGATGCAACTGCACAACTAGGTTTAATTTACATGAGGCAACTTCATCAGAAATTTCCACAGGTGGCAATTTCATCATATGCATTCTACACATCATTTGCTTCTTAATAAGCAGGGTTTACCTCTGAAAAAAAATCTACACATCACAACAATATGGTAAGTACATCTTTACCATTATAGCAACATATAGCCAAGTTACAAGTTCAAGTCATGAGCTCAAATTCCTCAAGCTCAAATCACAATAATTGAATAAACCTAATAATTGATAATTCACCAATGGATGGATGAGCTCATTCAAAGTAAACGTGCAAATGTCTGGACAACTTTTAATTACCAAGTTATACTGCTATGTGAAACAACTTTGCTCAATATGAACCTATCCATGTCTATCTAGATGTGCTCTATGGTTTATCTAGCATGCTTAATATGAACCTAAATATCTATCCAAGATTATCTTGGCTCCATTAAAACTTTGCTCAATATGAACCTATCCATGTCTATCTAGATGTGCTCTATGGTTTATCTAGCATGCTTACTCAGTGCACAAGACAATTTCTCCAACCTAGAGCTAAGCCTACCGAGCAAGTCTATCAAGCTACTCTAGGAAGTAAAGGCACACTGTTAGCTTCCATGGCCCTAAGCTAAGTGGTTTTGATGGTTAATGGCAACATTGCTTTTGTGACTAACTTGTGTGTTTTGCAGAAACAGGTTTATGTTAGGTCACAAAGCATGAAGACGAAGAAGGTGTCTTCAAGCATTGATGAAGAAGCAAGTTGAGGACAACTTATTAGCATGTGTGGCTAGCATATGGATTGGAGGATCAAGTGTTAATGCTAGGCTACAAAGCATAAAGAATGGAGAAATCCCCGATGGTTGATGGTAAGACGATCAAAGAACTCAAGATTGAAGAAGGATATCAATCAAGAAGTCAAGCGAGCAATCAATGACTCAAAATCAAGTGGACTATGGAGGAGTCAAGTATTGCAATTGAAGACTCAAGGTTGAAGACCTTTTAGGAGTTAGGATCGCTAAGAAAGGGAGTCAATTGAGCAAAGGCTCAACCAAATGTTCAAGTCTTCATGGTGGTGCAACCTTCATGAACATATGGTCTAGAGAGACTAGTTATGGTGCAAAGAATCCAACTGAACAAGTTTCGCCTGAATCAGAGTTTGTGAGAAGAAGTTAGAGGCGAGAATAGAAGAAAGTGCACTCAAGGTACAATCTGATGCTAAGGAAAAAGCACACACCGGACAATCAAGTTGGAGTCCACCTAGTGGCTCTATGTGAAGACATTGTTCAAACAAGAATACTAGACGATTCGGGTAGAAGGATTATGAGCACTGAACAATCCAAAGACAAATGAAAAAGGCTAAAGTTTGGTGGTTCTAAAGAAATAAACTAATCAGATGGTCCATGTTGGTATTTCTTAACGTCTACAGAAGTTATCTGCAAGCGTACGGAATTACCGTTTAGCTTTCACTCGGAAGTATTCAGGGTATCGTATTTTCCATAGGGAACATAGGTATTTCTTCTAGCTAATTTATCCAAGGACAACACAAGGATAGCTGATAAGGGTAGAGATGGATTCCTATGGCTTTAGGGTCTAAGGATAGATAAATTCTACTTTTACTTGCTCACTTCGGGCACCGACGTACACTTGGTCTGCCAAGCGATATCGACCTGTAGCTCTACGTCGTACCCGAATGTGGGGGATTACGAGGGATGGACATGGCTGTCACCACCTACCGCTTACCCCTCAACCATGGAGTACGATGCAAACGAAGGTAGCCTCTAGTCTAGACACCACGTCTACACTATCGACTAGTACTCTAGAGGCGATAAGGGCGATCCATCTTTATCGAGAGCCCTTTACTAGAGTATCCGCCATGGGGACGGACGATGAACCCGTAAACAAGTAAGAGTAAAGCTTAACTACTCAAAGACTTAATTTCACAAGAATCACGAACACTTACTTAGCGAGAGAACCCATTGAGGTACATATGTTCGTCGAGGTACAAGTTGGGGAGACATCGACAAGCCCGCCGCTTCCCCGATCTCTCCCTCACATCTCTTCCTACTACTTTTCTAGAGCTAGCTAGGGCCTAAGCCCATGGAGTGGTGTTGCTCTTCTCTTGATCTTGCTCTTGTTCCTTGTGTGTGTTGTTCAAATGAGGAGGGGGTGGCCTCCTCTTATAGGTGGAGAAGAGGAATGATCCCATGGAATATGCCTTGATTCCCCTCGTTAATGCACCAAACCGACCTCTGGGTATGATGAACCTAGGCCAAACCTTGACATCGACGTTGGACAAGGCGGTATGTATCAACTGACCAAAGTTGGGACCAAACGGGCCAGGTTGGGGTGTGGCCGCACCCTGGCTGGGCCCAATCACACCCCTCTTTGGTCGGTGACCTTCTGTGAACTTCTTGTCTTGTCCCATGGTGGTTTGGTGCGGAGATGAGTTGGTTTGGTTTGATTTTGGGCCTGTTCTCCACTTGTTTTGGGCTCTGATTTGTCTAGTTGTGGGCCTCCGCCTCTTGGGCTCAAGTTGGGTGATGTTACGCCTTGTCCTATTGTGCATTTGCGTGAGTTTTCATTTGTTATTCGGACATGTCCTCCTGTAAATGATGAATCACCAAAACTCGTGGAATTGGTTAGTTGTAAATCCTATTTACTAAGCTTTGGTGTTTGTTTGTATGGATTTTATGTAAAGTTGGCAGGTGAAAATAAGAGTTAAGCACCGTCGACAAGTCCCCCCACACTTAGTCCTTTGCTCGTCCTTGAGTAAAGTTTTAAGGACTAAGATGGGTCATCTCCTTGATATGATGTCTACATACAAGTTATTACAAGCTTCACCTACACTTGTGAACTTCTGAGTGTCTACCACATTATCTTTTATAATTGGATAATGGAATAGCTTGGATTCAAATCTTCTTACTCTACTCTTGCTCAGGAACTTGGGTTTTTGCTTGATTTTTTTTAAATGTAAATATAGCATGTGTTCCTTGAATGATTCTCTCATGTCACTCATATATGTAAGTG